GTTAGGGAGATCACTTGTGTGATAAGGTCAATCATAAAGCCTAGTGACATTATTACATGTCTAATCATGCAATTGTGTTAATGAACATTTCAAAAGAAAATAACAACTTTTATTTCATGAATGATCAATATACAAAAATATATGTCCATTACGTATCAAACCTAGACTCTTCACATGATCTGAAAAACATCTCTACGTATAGGTTTAGTGAAAGGATCAATAACTATTTTGCTAGTGAATATATACTTAATTAGCAACTTCCCCTTTTTTTGATGGTGTGTTGAACGAAATGATAACGCTTCTTATTATGCTTGGTTTTTCTATGGAATTTCGGACCCCGAGCATATTAGATAGTAGCAGTATTGTCACAATGCATTTTTATAGGTTCATCAACTTTAGAGGTGATATTGAGATCCTGTAGAAAGCTTGTCAACCAAATTGCCTCTTGTACAACAAGACAATTAGAAACATACTCTGCTTCTATTTTAGATAAAGTAATGCAATCTTTCTTTTTACTACACCAAGATATGACACCTCCACCAAGGACAAAAACATATCTTGAGGTCGACTTAGACTCGTGTCAATTGCCACCCCAGACTGCATCTGAATATCTTTTCAACCTTAAGTCGGCCTTGATAACATACTAGATCACTTGTACCACGAAGGTAGTGTAAGATTCTCTTGACTGTTTACCAATGAGCAGGTCCAGGGTTGCTTTGATAACGACTTACCAAACCAATCGCAAAATAAATATTCGGCCGTGTATACAACATGGCATACATCAAACTGCCTATTGCACTAGCATAAGGAACGTTGTTCATTTTTTTCTCTTCATCTGTCTTTGGGCACTAATCAAGACTTAAGGTTAGACCATTCTCAACAAGAGTATCAATGAGTTTGAAGTAATGCATCCGAAATCGTTCTAAGACTTTTTTAATATATGCTTCTTGGCACAGTCCTAGAAGCTTCTTGGGACGATCTTTCGTTATTTCCACGCCAAGGATAAACCTGGCTTCATCCATGTCCTTTATTTCAAAAACAAAGGAC